TTTTATGCGCTGTTTTCCCGTTTGTGACTTACCAAAACATTATATAATACATGAATTTAAAAAATTTAAGCTTTTAACATCTTAGCAATTTGCGTGTCTGTTATCTACCCTAAATGTGGCAGATATTTCCCAGGCTCCCAGTTGCGAATGGAACTGATACCCTCTCTTACTCGTTATTAGCATGGAAAGCGTTTTTCTTACCAGCCAAAGTTGAGGAAGCTGGAGTTTACAAGAAATATCGCCGGCACTCGACCAACTTACCTCAATCACTCTATTTTGTTCAAAGTAAACTTTTAGCGCACATTAGTTATTATATGTCTTGCTTGAATGCTTTGCACGCTTGAAATGAGTGACTTTTATTGTGTTTTGGCTTCTGTCTTCGTTAATGTGCTAGCTTTGTAGAAATTTATTTGGCACTGGAAAACCCAATTCGGTATTTCAAGACTCTTAACAAGCAGATCGATGGTAAAGCCTTAAAGTTTGTTTTTTATTGCTGATATTATCGTGATCATTTTTAGTTTTGTTTCTTGATGTAATGGATGAATCATTTCTGTTTTTGTGAATATATAAATTTTTATAATCAAGTTTATAGAATAGGCGTCGACAATTGCTGTTAAGATAATTGCATCGTTCCAAATTAATCATTTGTGTCTCCCACTTCCCTTGTTTTTCTATAAGCCACTATGGAGATCAGAAAAATGCATTTAACTCTTTAGCCTGATAGCATTATTACGCCTGTACGGATCATTACATTGGCCTGTTGATCATTGTCTGCATTCAACATATTACAAAACAATGCAGATTATGACAAACTGTTATTTGATAGAGTAATTCGTTGTTGGTCATACTAAAAAAATACCATAAAGTACTGTTTATTTATAAGCAACGCTAGAGATACTGTCATCAATAAGGAAACTGACCTATACCGACGTTTCGGCCCGTGTCTCGCGGGCCTTCTTCTAGTGAATGTGGTTTGTGGTCAGAAGCAGTCGATTATTGAATAGCAAAGCCGAAAGATCATCTCCCTTGCAAACTCCAAGTAAATAGAGAACCATTCACGTTGCTGCCCTTCAATTTCGAAAGCAAACATATTTTCTGCATACGCCTATTCCAAAATAGAAACAGTGTGCTCAGGTAACTGTTCAGGAATCGTTGAGAGAAAGATCAACTTTTGACGAAGTACGTGTCATTTACCTTGAGTCGTTTAAGAGGTCTGCTTCAAACTCCGGTGGTGCCGAATTCGGTTTCGCTAAAGGGCTTGCCATATTCACGATTTCCTTTGAGCAAAGAATTTACCATATATTGCTTCAGTCGGTAGAGGATCGAATTGAGAACCTTTAGGTTCAGAGTCCAAAATGTGATCAGGTAACTCGGTCTTCTTCCTTCCACGGTTTATAAGTGAGTATCACATAGTACTACTGAGGGAAGGAAACAGAAACCACACGCTATGCTTGCCAGGTGGCTTTAGACTCTGCCTTCAAAAATGAGGCACTCCTGGCTGATGACAAAGACATGGATAGAAGAACGCGGCATGAACTTCATGACAACAATGGCGCCAAAACCTCAGAATCATGAAAGGGCAGGAGGATCGATATTTCACGGTGCAGCTTAACATCGGTGTTGAATAAAATTTCTATCGGTGATATGACATACGTCTGAATCATTCTGCCTCAGATGGCGACCAGAAAACAACATTACAGAACATAGCGTTATGAAGCATATCTAAGCATTTATATACGACGGGTATTGAAAGCCAGAGCAAGTATCAGTAATAACAGTATTATGTTTTTACTGTGAAAAAATTCAATGGATTAGAAAGTCTTGCATTCCATTGGTTTCGACCACAAACGCAAGCGGTATGCACATCATCGTATAATTCATGCCTATATTTGCTTCCCAATAAAAATTTCTGAATTTTCTTCAATCCCGCTGCATGGAAATATATTGCATGAAGGAAGTGCATAAGTTTTGTAGCTTTTTTCCTTCCAGCCAGTTTGAGGCACAAATAGTTTCTGAGGTAAACTTGCATTACAAAACAAGATTTTAGTGTAATATGGTGATTCTATTATGCTTTCGTCATTCTTCTGACGGCTTAATGAAGTGCCTGCCTTCGCATCATATTGGCCCTTGCATCACATTATTACCATCGCTATTATGCTTCCGCTGAGAACTCATCTAGAGGTACTATTTATATGAAACGACATAGTTAAATATAGTTAAAAAGATTATCAACTATCATACTTGTTTCAAAAATCAAAAATATCCCATACCTAAAAC